TATAACTTTTTTAATGGCTTTATCTTAAAAAGATCAAGGTCCTCATGTAACTCTAAAAATATTGCATTCTCATTAATGAAAAACTTGTACCATTGTGCTTTAAAGTCTAAATCTATTATGACATCAGAGCTTCATATTCTAACGGGCCACTGATCCTCTTAAAACTATTCAGGCAATGCGCCTCTAGTCCTTAAGGCTAAGAGCCTCCAACCTCAAGCAATGCACCTCCAATACACCAGGCAACACGCCTCCAAACCCCAGACAATGTGCCTCAAATCCCCAAGCATGCGCTTCCAGCAGTTTCTCTGCGCCCGTCTCCATGCTTCTACGCTCTCGCGCGGTCTTCTCACTCTATGTGCCCCTGCGCCGTCTCATCTCTCCCAACAATCCTCTGCTCTCTCCTCCCTCCTGACGATTGTTGTCTCAGTGCCCATGTGTTGTCCCCTCTCCTTTCCTCAATATTTATCAATGTTGCAACCACATCTATGCCCCTTACTACTCATGTTTATTTCTTCTATCACGGTTCAACATTGGATTCTCCTATTGGAGCTCCATCTTGCAGAGACATGATAATAATGATTGGTTATTTAAATTTAAATTAGTTTGTATTTAGTTAATTATCCCTAATACTTAGATATTAGATGAGTAGTTATCTTTTATTTAAAGTTTAAAATTATTTTGAATTATTAGTTATTAGTAGATAAGTCTTAGTTTAAATTAATTGATCTAGATTAGTATTAAATTCAAATTTCTCATGTAACTCTATAGATATTGCATTCTCATTAATAGAAAACTTGTACCTCAAGGACTAAATCTATTACGCTGCACATGTTGGATTCTACCTGAACAAAAGGGAAATTGGAAACAAATTGAGGCCTCACGTTTGAGTGGGGAATATTGAAACGTGGTAATCCATATGTTCTATGACTAATAATTATAGTTACCAATGAAAATTAAAGAAAATTTTTTTATTGTATTGAAGCAAAGTATGTGATTATTTGTAGTGGAAATATTCTATCTCCATACCCAGGTTATCATATATAGTCGCCTTTTTTATCTCATTAAAACACTACCACACATGGCAATGCTTTCGTTCACAATAGAATAAAGAATGACAATAATCATATAATGACGGTTTAATATATTTTTCTTATTAATTTATCTCTTCATCCAATACCAAATGAAACCCTTTCTTTAGATACACTATCTGTGCTATATTTGATGATATTTCCTTTTTTCCTTATCTTTAAATAAAATATATATTATTTGAAAAACTTTGACATGAGAAGTGGGATTAGGAACAAAAGTTGAACAAATAATTTAATTGGAATCAGCTTGGTGTAATGACGTCATGAAAAAACATTAACTTGAGAAGTTACAATATTCTTCCATAAAATCATAATAATTGAAGAGTGTAATTCATCGGAAACCCCATTAAGATAGACTACACAGTTGTGAGCACTAAACAAATGACATCACAAAAAGGTAGCAAATAAGTTGAATCTTTGTCTAGAAAAAATAACCAAAGAAGTCAAAACAAGGCATATATATGTAGACACGACAAGAAATCCAGAATGTCGGAAAGAACCAGCTAGTAAAAAGATTGTGCAAAAACTTGACACTTTACGTGTGAAACATGCTTTCTTGCAAAGTAACTATACTCACGTCTCTAACTTTTTGTACTACAATTAAAAGCTCTCACATAAAATCACATTTTAATTTAAATTGAAAACTTAAATCGATAAACTGAACGAGACCAAAATGTATGCTCTATATTTCTATTGCGATCGAATGTGGTACTGTTATCGTTAAGCTATATCTACAATCAAATTATCTTTTTACTGTTATATCTACAGTTTTCAATCGTAGGATTCTAATCGAACACGAACTGGCATATGAGCCCTAAATAAATAATTCAAGGAAATTTTAAAAGGGTCCCATATTCATTGAAACGTCGAAAGGAAACTCTTAGAGCATTCTTTCATGAACTGCTTTTTTGGGGACCATTTTAACAATTATGAAAGAAAACTAGCAGCCACTAATTTGACAATTGATAGCTTATGGCCACATAACTTTGTTATTGCCTCTTAGTGCAATGCAAGAGTCATTTGACATTTTGAAATTAGAAAAGAGGATGTGAAAAAAGCTAGCTTTTGTGACTATTTTTGCAATTTTCTCGGTTGAGACGTACATGATATGAGAATTAATGCCGATGGGTTTGTCTGTTAATTCTTATAACAAAATTAAGTAATTAACTTTCTTTTGTAGTATTTATTAACAACTAATTATGCTAACATGCACAAATGAAACCAATAATTATCTTGCAAGAGAATAAGCCTTATTTTCAGATGGTAATTGTAATCAATAACATGATCATTTATCGTATCCCGCCTGAGAAGTACTGATCATTTTAATTTGCAGTATAATATGAATCATAGGAAGTATTGATTTGCTTGAATCATTTTTATTTAAAATAAATGAAGAGCGCACAATTAGCATAAAGCTGTAGCTACTTAGGTTGAGAGACAAAATGTGTCACCTGAACCGCACCATGAGTTAATGAATATTGAGTCGTTAGTCTGAAAATAATCTCAAGCACTTCTCATAATACTTAAATTTGAGACCTTTTATCTACCAAATCACTTATGGAAGCCAATACCACTAGATTATCATCTTTCTAATAATGATCCAAAATACTATAAACAAGTTACTGTATATCACTGAAAATGTCATTAGCTGAAAAGAAGTGTAAATTACGCCGTATAGTATCACTTTTGGACTCTAGTTAATTATATACTTATCGTGCGTGAAAAATAGGCATAAATTTTCTTGTACAAAAAATGATTTGTTTGCATTTTAATTTTCACGCTCATGGGTGCAAAAATTTAGCAAAGTATGGACTAGCGTCAGCCCTAATAACAAAGGCTTCAACCTAAGCCCATTATAACTTTGAATTTTTAGAAAAAAAAATACATGATTTGTCATAATTTTGTGTAGACTTCATTCTAAAATATAATTAAGTATCATTATCACTTTTTATTTTCTATTTATTAATTAAATAAAAATTATTTATTTTTTAGTGGAGTGACATAAATAATAAATAATGTTTTTACGGTATGCTTGGTTTTTTTCCCTTCGTCCTGCCGTTAATGAGCCTTTTGAAATTGCAAAACGGAAGAATCTATGCAGGTGGCAGAAGGCCTTATTTTTAAATTCCAATACATATATATATATTTACCTTCCCTGTTGAGTCAATTGGAAAAAGTACGTGACGAAGTCTTTCATTTTTTTTTTGTCCAATCAATAGTTTTGACTATTTTGTTTATCATACATATATAGATGTTTTGTTATTCCAATATCGGTAGTTCAACAAGATTTACTATTGTAATATTGATCGTCTCAATTTATTAAAAATATCTTCATTGAATAAACATATAGAAGTGCAGAGAAAAATTGGACAGAAATATGCAGATAAAGAAAAAATAAAATAGAAAATGGCACGGGCCACACTATTAGCCAAAGCTAGAGCGGAGTTTCTTAAGGTTTCAGATGTCCCTTCCCTCAAATTAATAGTTATTATGAATCTATTTCAAGTTTCATTACTGTTTTTGCTCCTTAATTAAATCAAAATACTCTTCTCCATCCGAATTATATAGTACTTAATCACATTTAGATCATATGCTAGACAGCGTTAAATTCGTCCGAGTGATGCTGCGATAAATGCGAACGTGACGGACCAGAAGCATGCAGATGTCTTGACCTTCATGAGGCCTGAGGGCAACTGTCCTAGAAGCTGCACATTCTGCATATGAATCCCTGCCATTTCCTTGCGCTGTACCAAATGCACCTCCAGTATACTAGTACTACTGAGGCTGAGTTTCAGACTCTTCTGGCCTTGAAAGCCCTTAACCAGATCCAATTCTAGTGTGATCAATGTAAAATTTATATATATATATATATATA